TCCCCAAAATAGCAGACCCACCACCATCCCCCCCTCCTCGATGGCCACGACACCAAGGGGGTCCAGCGTTCCCGGAACGCCGGACCCCCCCGGTGCTGCGGGGGGAGGAGGGGTTCCGTCCCACCCCCTCGATGCCCGCACCGGCAAGGGGGTCTGGCGTTCCGGGAACGCCGGACCCCTTTGATGCTGCGGGGGATCAAGGGGGTCCGTCCCACCCCCTCGATGCCCGCAGCAGCAAGGGGTCCGGCGTTCCCGGAACGCTGGACCCCCCCGGTGCTGCGGGGGAGCAAGGGGGTCCTTCCCGCCACCCCCCCTCCACAATTGCCGCATATCACCAGGGGGGTCCGGCGTTCCCGGAACGCCGGACCCCCTTTGTGCAAAGGGGGCTGAAGGGGGTCCGTCCGAATCCCTCAGATGGCCACAACACCAAGGGGGTCCGGCGTTCCCGGAACGCTGGAGCCCTTTGGTGCTGCGGGGGAGGAGCGCGGTCCGTCCCACCCCCTCGGGGCCTGCAGCGCCCAGGGGGTCCGGCGTTCCCGGAACGCGGGACCCCCCATGTGCTGCGGGGGAGGAGGGGTTCCGTCCCACCCCCTCGATGCCCGCACCGGCAAGGGGGTTCGACGTTCCGGGAACGCCGGACCCCTTTGATGCTGCGGGGGATGAAGGGGGTCCGTCCCACCCCCTCGATGCCCGCAGCAGCAAGGGGGTCCGGCGTTCCCAGAACGCTGGACCCCCCCAGTGCTGCCGGCATTCCTGCTCAACCCCCTCCTCTGTGGGACCTCAGTTCATACATGGCAATCAGGACCTTCCCCACATGCCTTTTTTCAGTTCCGTGTTTTCCGCAATTACAAATTTGATACAAAACAAAAAGGAGAGGGAGATAAACTCCCTTCCCATGTGCGATCTGACTTCATGCATGGCAATGACCACCTTCCCCCACGTGGCTTTTTTGAGTTCCCTCGCATTTGTAAGGAAAAAAAAAAAAAAAAAAAAAAAAAAAACGTGAGAGGGAAATTAACCCCCTCCCCTATACGATCTCAATTCATACATGGCAATCACGACCTTCCCCGCATACCTTTTCTCAGTTCCGCATTTTTTGCGATTACAAATCAGGCACAAAACAAAAGGGAGAGGGAGATAGACTCCCCTCCCTGTGCGATCATGGTTCAGACGTGCCACGTGTGACTGTTTCCCGCGTGGCATTTTGCAGTTTCGGTACATGCCATCTTTGTGATCCGAAAAATGCAGAACTAACTTCATACATGGCGATGGCGACCTTCCCCCACGTGACTTTTTTGAGTTCCCTCGCATTTGAGGAGAAAAACAAGAAAAAAAAAATGGGGAGGGAGATAAACTCCCTTCCCGTGTGCGATCTGAGTTCATACATGGCAAGGACGACCTTCCCCCACGTGGCCTTTTTGAGTTCTCTCGCATTTGTAAGGAGAAAAAAAAATGAAAAAAATGGGAGAGGGAGATCAATCCCCCTCCCTGTGCGATCTGACTTCATACATGTCAATCACGACCTTCCCCACATGCCTTTTTCCAGTTTCGCATTTTTCGCTATAACAAATCTGACACAAAACAAAAGGGAGAGGGAGATCAACCCCCCTCGCTGTGCGATCACAGTTCAGACGTGCCGATTGTGACCCTTTCCCACGTGGCATTTTGCAGTTCCGTTACATGCCATCTTCGTTATCCGAAGAAAAAAAACGAAAAAAAAAAGGGAGAGGGAGATAAACTCCCTTCCCGTGTGCGATCTGACTTCATTCATGGCCATGACGACCTTCCCCCACGTGGCTTTTTTGAGTTTCCTCGCATTTGTAAGGAGGAAAAAAAAGAAAAAGAAAACGGGAGAGGGAGATCAACCCCATCCCCTATACGATCTCAGTTCATACATGGCAATCACGACGTTCCCCACATGCCTTTTTTTTGTTTCGCATTTTTCACAATAACAAATCTGACACAAAACAAAAGGGAGAGGGAGATCAACCCCCCTCCCTGTGCGATCACAGTTCAGACGTGCCGATTGTGATCCTTTCCCGCGTGACAGTTTGCAGTTTCGTTACATACCATCTTCGTAATCCAAAAAAAAAAACGAAAAAACAAGAAGGGAGAGGGAGATAAACTCCCTTCCCGTGTGCGATCTGACTTCATACATGACAATGACGACCTTCCCCCACGTGACTTTTTTGAGTTTCCTCGCATTTGTAAGGAGAAAAAAAAAAAAAAAAAAACGGGAGAGGGAGATCAACCCCCTCCCATATGCACTCTCAGTTCATACATGGCAATCACGACCTTCCCCACATGCCTTTTTTCAGTTCCGCATTTTNCATGGCAATCACGACCTTCCCCACATGCCTTTTTTCAGTTCCGCATTTTCCGCAATTACAAATTTGATACAAAACAACAGGGAGAGGGAGATCAATCCCCCTCCCTGTAATATCTGACTTCATACATGACAATCATGACCTTCCCCACATGCCTTTTCTCAGTTCCGCATTTTTCGCGATTACAAAGCTAACACAAAACAAAAGGAAGAGGGAGATAGACTCCCCTCCCTGTGCGATCACGGTTTAGACGTGCCGAGTGTGACCATTTTCCACGTGGCATTTTGCAGTTTCGTTACATGCCATCTTCGTGATCCGAAAAATGAGGAACTGACTTCATACATGGCAATGGTGACCTTCCCCCGTGTGGCTTTTTTGAGTTCCCTCGCATTTGTGAGGAGAAGAAAAAGAAAAAAAAAAGGGAGAGGGAGATAAGCTCCCTTCCTGTGTGCGATCTGACTTCATACATGGCAATGACGACCTTCCCCCACGTGGCCTTTTTGAATTCCCTCGCATTTGTAAAGAAAAAAAAAAAGGGAAAAAAAA